TGTGTGTGTGTGTGTGTGTCTGTGTGTGTGTGTGTGTGTGTGTGTGTCTGTGTGTGTGTGTGTGTGTGTGTGTGTGTGTGTGTGTGTGTGTGTGTACAGGTTTTTCTATACTGGTGGGGATTTAAACCCGAATACACACAGACTCATGTGAACTTGTGTCACTGTGAGGACCTAAATTGAGGTCCCCATGCATACAGAAGCTTATGAATCATACAGAATGAGTTTTTTTGAGATTGTAAAAATGTGTGAGTGTCTTTGTGTGTGTGTGTGTGAGTGTGTGTGTGTGTGTTTTACCTTCAGAACTGAGGTCTTCTTCATCGTTGAGGTCTTTGGATGGCGTCGGGGATGCAGACGCTTCATGAACGGACGTCTGAGGAGGACAGATCATGTCAAACACACACTCAGAGCACAGGTGTGCAGAGCCACACACACACTCACAGACACACACACACACACACACACACACACTCACCTTCCGGCTGCGTTGAGTCCCAGGGCTGCAGGGCGACTGTGATGACCTCATCGGGGGAGAGTCGCTCCTCGGAGCCTCATTGGCTGAAAAACCATCAGCAGAAACTCCATCAAAACTCATGAGTAACCAGTACTTTAATACTGCTCACAGTGTGTGTGTGTGTGTGGGTGAGTGTGTGTGTGTGTGTGTGTGTGTGTGGGTATACGTGAGTGTGTGTGTGTGTGTGTTTACCGGATACAGGTGATTTGGAGCGCGGGATGCCGGAGCTTTTGTATGCAGTTGTCTTGGGAGGGACTGACGGTCGTGATTTCTTACACTCTGAGACACACACAGACAGACAGACAGATGGATGAGTGTGCTGTTAGTGTGTGAATGCTGTCTGTCTCTCGTATACGTGTTGATCTCACCATTAACGAACGCAGCCGCGGCGCTCTTCCCCGCGTGTCCGACGGCAGCGTCGTCCTGAGCGTAACGAAACTTCTCCAAACCGCACGCCATGAAAACATCGTCATCACCGAAGAAATCCTGCAGACTCGTCAACTACAGACACAGAGACGGACTCACTTCACTGGGTGGTCTGAATTTGTAGTAAACACTGCATAGAATTATATACACACACACACAATATTTATAAAAATAGAAATGATTGTCTATTGAAAAGATCGTCGGTAGGTTTTGAACTGATATAAAAACACCCCTGTTCTTCAGTACAGAAAATAAAATAAAATATAAATATTACATGAAAAAAATGTAATAAAAAATATAAATTATAAATTCCTCAGCAACTAAAGTACTAAATTTACTAGAACTAAAACTGACATAAAAATAATTTTTTATTAATAAAAGCTAAAAAAATATTTTAAAAACCCAATAAAAACTACTAAAATTTACAAAAACACATGACAATGAAATTACAAAAACTTAAATATATGAAATGAAAATAAATTGAAGCTAAATAGAAATATCTGGCTTATGCTAAATAATAGTGCTTTTTTAGGATCATTCAGACACTATTATTGTTTTTATTAATATTTTGATTGGATTTTTTTTTGTAAATTTTCATTTTAGTAAAAATTTTATTAATTTTGTTCTGTTTTTGTCATTTTTATTAGTTTAGTTTTTTACATATCTCTATATAGAATATAAGCATGAAGTACTAAAATTATACATATATATATATACATATTAAAATGAGAAATATTGCCTTGGCAACTAGCTGAAATAAAAAAAAAACATTTCTGTTAACATTTATCGTATTTCAAGTAACGAAAATGGTTTTATTTTTGTTTCAGTGTTAGTTAACTATAATAACCCTGCTATATAATATGTCACTAATATTAAAAGTGACACGGCACTGATGGAGAGTGAAGCATTGTGGGAAAATGAATGCAGAGCGTGAGCGGTTCGGTTGCCATGACGAGAGTCCTCATCATCACTGGTCACATGACAACATGATTACAGCTATCGGCACATTCACTCACACACTGATTTGATTGACTGTTGCCGTGAGCGACCGGCTCAGAAAATCACAGATGTGTGTTGTATTTTTATGCAGCTAATTCTTCACTCGATTAGTGAGTCTCGGTTCTGTCTGAGGGAAGCCCTGTGCGTCTGCAGCGAGAGGCGCCGGGATACAGATGAAGCTCACTGTACTGCTCACACATTCACTGAGGCCAACAGGGGAGACGCAGGTTACCACGGCAACCGGCCCGCAGACACACTCGCCGGACTGACGGGAGGAGGCGGAGCCACACACACACACACAATGGCTTTTCTACTGTACAGACCGTATATTCTATTGTCCTACACCAACCCTACCCCTAAACCTACCCCTCACAGGAGACTTTGTGCTATTTCAGATTTTCAATACACTCCATTCTGTGTGATTTATAAGCGTTTTGAAAAGTGGGGACGTGGGGTAATGTCCTGAAAAGTCACCTTCTCCTTGTAATACCTGTCATACCTTTGTCATTATACAAATTTATGTCCTCATTTGACACACACACACACACACACACACACACACACACACTATTATATACACACACACACACACACAATTATATACACACACACACCCACTCACTCTCACACACACACACACACACTCACACACACACACACACACACACACACACACACACACACACAC